TCATAAATTATCTCTAATTCCTATTTATCCTCTCCCTTACTTTTGATCAATATCTATCTAAAGGAAGTTTGGATTAAAAAATTTAAGAATTATGTAGATATTCTAACAAAATTATATAATAACTTTAAAATATTTATTAAAAACACAAAAAATTATTTTATATTTTTTTGAAATATATCACGAAATAATGTTCTAACAATTTAAGTTATGTTTTTTCGGATTATCAATTTAAATATTTTTTAAATATCTAATAATATGTAATAGCTTTAAATAAATAAATTCAAATAACAACAAATTTAAAATATTTTATAGATTATTTAAATTTATAAATAACAAAATATTTATCATAATTAGATTTTAAATAGTTAAAATAACGAAGTTATGTAATAAATAAAAAAATTACTTAAAGTAGAAAAATAATTATAACATAATATTGAAATTAATAATAATTTAATATATTACAAAATTAATAATGAAATTATGTATATTATAAATTATGATTTTATGGATAATTAAATTCAATAAATATTAGTATTTTGAAATTTAAATATTTTACATAATATTTAAGTATTTAAATAACTAATTGTTTTAAATAAAAAAATATTTAAAATAACTAGATTTTAAATAGTTAAAATAAAGAAATTATGTGATAAATTTAGAAAATTTCTAAAAAGTAGAAAATAATTATAACAAGCGGTAGGGGTGCTCACGGTTCAATTAACCGAACCGTGGGGTTATTTTGTGAACCAAACCAATTTGATCGGTTTTTTGAGTATTTGAATCGAAATCGAACCGATACAATTGGTTAACCGTCAACTGGTTAACTGGTGGACCGGTTAATCGCGGTTCAGTTTTTCGGTTTTTTATGCACTCAAAATAAAAAAAGAGAGAGAGAAAGGTCGACGGTCGATCTGTGATTTTTTTTTCATTGGGGAAGATGACGAGAGATGAGAGATGAGAAACTGAGAATTCGGGGGCCGTCAGTCGGTCTGGGGAAGAAGAAGATTAGAGAGATGAGAGACTGAGAACTGAGAGTGGGGGAGAAAGAGAATGGCGTTTACTCTGAGAGAGAAAGAACTGAGAGACGAGAGACTGAGAATTCGAATGTCGTCGATCGGAGCCCGGAGGTCGTCAGTCGGAGACTCGAAGGCCATCGATTGGTCTGGGGAAGAAGAAAACCAAGAGATGAGAGATGGTGATCCGAGAGTGAGAGGGAAAAGCGTTTCATTTGATTACAAGAAAAGAAGAATGAAGATTAGAAATGGCCTTTGCGCGTCTGTCTATATGACTATCTACGACTGTAGCTAGGTGTAGCTGTAGCTAACTAGCTAGCTGTAGGTACTAGCTGATTAGTTAGCTGTAGGCGCCTGTAGATGAGTCACCAAAAAGGTGAAAATGACAGAAAGTCAGTCGTACTTAAAACTTTTTTTAAAAAAAACAAGAAGAAAGTGAGAAGGCAGATAAGCCTATTCGATTTTAAAAAATATAATATATATTAATATACATATATAGATCGATTCGATTAACCGTCGGTTCTTTTAAAGGTTAATCGAAACTGTATCGAAATCGTCGGTATTTTAAAAATATCAAACCGAAACCGAATCGATCGATTCGATTAATCAAGTTTTCGATTCGATTTCGGTCGGTTTTTTCGGTTGATTTGGGTTTTCGATTTATTTTGCTCACCCTGTAATGTTTTAATATCGTGGGGGCGTGATTGCCACGTGTCTGAAATTTCAGGGAGGACAACGTAACCAGTATAAAAGCAAGGGGAGGTTTCAGCCACTGTTAAAAATTTCAGGAGGTTTCAGCCACCGTTAGAAACTTCAATGACGTTTTAGTAATTTACCCTTGTTCTCTTTTCGGTTTTCGAAATTCCAATACCCTAAAACTCTCTCTCTCTCTCTCTCCGTTTCTCTTTTCCCCTCAAATTTTCCCTCTCCAGTCGGTCTCCACCACCAATCCATATTTGTCGAGTCCTATATCACGAAACAGGCTATAACAGCCGTATCTCTCACTCTCTGCCGCATCTCTCTCTCTCTCTTGATGATATTTGTCTGGTGCGTTTTCTGGTGAAGGCTCGTGGTTCTCTGCGAGACTCATGGTTAGGTCAAGGCTCGTTTTTCTTCTTTGATCCTCTTCTCCCTTGTTTTGTTTTTACACCAATCCATGGAAACTCTATATTCCACTCCATTGTATAGTTTAGTTCCAAATGTATAGCATCAAGTTATTCAGAATTAAAGTCGTTCAGATATTTTTATCATAGTAAAAGAAATGCATTTTGTGGAGATAGAGAGGGGTGAGGTTTGTGGAAGTAGAGAAACAAACACAAATAGCAGAATCGTTTCCTTCAAACGCTATGAACCAGAGGAATAGTTGCAAGCCACTCTGGTTATGACTGTAACAATTGATGTCGATCAATTGCGAGAAGCAAGGAAAACAGTGGATATAGATAGATTTCAACCAGGGTGTTGAAAGCTTTCGGGGGTTACGAGTTTTTTGGTAAAGGTCGAGGGTTATGAGTAGGTAGTATAGAATTGTTGTTTTGAGCGAAAACTGCACCCAAGTAGAGAGTCCATTTTAAGTTCATAATCGATTTAAGAAAGAAAAAACAAGAAGGAAGAAGCGATTCCAAGGTACACAATTTATAGATCTTCCTTTGTAGTTAATTCAGTCATTTTAAATAGTCACTCAAAGAACCATTTCAAGAAAGAAGGAACAAACTACTCTAAGGTACAAAATTCATTGATGTTCCTTTTCTTTTGCTTCAGTCATTTATGCCATTTTTTAGCAGAGACGTTCTCATCCCACGTTATTCTGATTTTTTATAGTTGTACTAATGTAATGATATAAATCTCTCTCTCTCTCTCTCTCTCCCTCCTTGATATATCCAATATAGTTCCTCCCACTTTAAACCAGCGACATGTGGAACTTCAGAAGAAGATATAACCATGCATTTTTCTCTCTCGTGATTCAAATCCATATCAATTCGTCGAATTTTTGTCCAACCCACGTCATAAAATCCATAACTACAAATGAATTGAAGCCTTCCCGTTCTAGTCTTTTCATGGGTCATTTGAATTCTTGTTTCTCCACTAAGTTTTCTTTTCTTAGTTGCTCTACTTCCAGGAATCCAAGTACCCATATGGTTGAATCAGAACATGGTGATGGTGAAGATTTTGGTGGCAGTGGTATTGATATTGAACAATTGGATGTCAAAGATGACAACCTTATTCGAGATGTTGAAAAAATTTTGCATATTCTACGGGATTTCAGGAGAGCTAGCATTGAGACAAAGCAGAAGCTTCAGTTATGTGGCATAAATGTCTCATCAGAATTGGTGATACGAGTTCTTTCTTGCATACAAAATGATTGGGCTGCAGCATTCACCTTTTTTTTGTGGGCCGGAAAGCAGCCTGGTTACACTCATTCTGTTCGTGAATACCATGCAATGATCTCGATTCTGGGAAAGATGAGAAAATTTGACACAGCATGGGCCCTCATTGATGAAATGAGAGGAGGTAGAACTGGTCCATCACTGGTGACTACTAAGACGCTCTTAATTATGATCAGGAGATACAGTGCTGTACATGATGTGGCGAAGGCAATCAGCACTTTTTATGCTCTCAAACGGTTTAAGTTCAACATCCAGATGGAGGAATTCCAAGATCTTCTCTGTGCTCTGTGCCGATATAAAAATGTGAAAGATGCTGAGCATTTACTCTTCTGCAATGACAATGTATTCCCATTTAATACTAAGAGCTTCAATATCATACTCAATGGGTGGTGCAACATAATGGTCAATCTGCGAGAAGCGAAAAGGTTTTGGAGAGAGATGGATAGAAGAGGAATAACACGGGATGCCATCTCATATTCCAGCATGATCTCTTGCTACTCCAAAACTAGAAACCTTCATGATGTTCTCAAGCTGTTTAATCAGATGAAGGAATTGGGTGTTGCTCCAGATCGGAAGGTTTATAATTCTGTCATTTATGGTCTTGCAAAAGGCAAACTTGTGAAGGAGATTCATGAACTCATGAAGACGATGGAAAAGGAGGGCTTCATCCCAAATGTTGTTACTTATAATTCACTGATCAAGCCTCTTTGCCAGGCTCGTCAAATAGATGAAGCAAGGAAATTCCTTGACGAAATGTTGCAGCATGGTCTGTTTCCGTCTATTAGGACATACCATGCCTTTCTTCGTATTCTGAGAACAGAGGTAGATGTGTTTGAGCTGTTAGGAAAAATGAAGGAGACAGGTTGTTATCCAACTTATGACACTTATAAAATGTTAATTAGAAAGTTTTGTAGGTGGCGCCAACTTGAAAATGCCTTCAAGGTATGGAATGAGATGGCAGAGAATGGATTGAGCCCTGACAGGAGCTCTTACATTGTCCTGATACATGGACTCTTTTTGAACGGGAAGTTGGAGGAAGCCTTTAAGTATTATGAAGAGATGAAAGAGAAGGGGTTTTTGCCTGAACCAAAAACTGATGAGATGCTTCAGATTTGGGCATCTGGTAGGCAAACTACAAGGTGGCAGATGTTTGGCTTGAAGGATAACTTAATCTATTGCAATTCCTCAAGCAATGCCAAAATCACTGCTAACACTGGTTATGAAAGAGATTTTTGCAGACAACCTGAAATGAGAAAGGTTACAAGAGAAAAGGGTTTCTCTTTTTGGGAGTAGTGGAATCTCTTGCCATAATAGTGGAATGGTGGAACAGGACGAATGTACCCAACCCCATAAGCTGGGACAAGGTTTAGTTGAGTTGAGAATTTCATCATAATAGTACATGAAGCTCTGCAGTATCTGATCCATATAACAACCAACATTCTTCAACTGGTCAACAATATCAATTTCCCTACCAAATGCAGGTGCACATCTAGACCCATATCAATGTCTCTCAAATGCCTTTTTAATCACTGGAAGAATTGGGCTTGGAAGTGTTCTTTGTCAATGTTTACACTAAAATATGTTCATACAAATTATGCCTGTGAAAAGTATAAAAAATGGGAATAAAAAAGATCACTTGGGGTTGGTGAACTTGGTTTTAAAAGTCTTAAGCCTTGAGATGTGAGGTGTATGCCTTGAGGCAGGTGCACAGATTTTGCCTCAAATCTTAAGTCTCATAACTTTGATGTGAGGCTTAGGCCCTTGTCAGAAAGAGGCATACACCTTACCTCAAGGTGTGACATGTGAGGCATACTTGAGGTGTAGAAAAGTGTAAGCCTCAGGAACTAATTACTATTGAGTGGTTTCGTATAAAAAATATATGTATTTTTATAGTTCAAACCATATGAGGGGGGCACTTTAATAATTATGAGCCAAATAAAAGGAGTAAAATGAAAAACCAATGGGGAAAATCAAGTTTGTAATTTCTCTTGGTGTTTTGTGGGAGTTGAATACAAGGACCAAGAAGAGCCTTCGTAAGTCTCTTTGGATTTTTGGTTAAACCAAATGGGGTTTTTCTTAGTATTCTACACTTTTGGGTGACCATAAATCTAACATCCTAAATTATTTTTCTCATTTTTCTTCCTAGTTGATTTATTTTCTTTTAATTGATTTCTTTTTTGTATAGATCAAATCAACTAAGCTGTTTCCTTTCTTATAAATTATTGGGTAACCAGAAATCTAATATCAATTATATGGCTGATTTGTCATATAATCCCATTAGTAAAACCAATTTTGATGGTGGGGAATTTTTGATATTCTAAAATATTATGATTGGTCATTTGAATAATTTGACAACTTTGGACTAGTTATGGTTGTTTGTTGGTTAGTTATTATTTTGTTAAACGCTAAAAGCCTAAAACTTGTTGCTTATAAACTTATATTTTATAGATGTTTGTAACATCTACTTTTCTATTTTTATCATTTATGAACTTCCAACATCCTGATTTTAGGAGATAATCCCATGAAGGACAGCTTTTGGAACCCGGTTTTGGAAAGACTTGAGAAAAGGCTTGCCTCATGGAGTAAAAATTATCTTTCTCTAGGGGGGAGAATCACTTTAATTAGGTTTACCCTAGCTAACCTTTCTGTTTACTTTCTGKCGGTGTTTAAGATTCCCGCAAAGGTCTCAAGTAGAGTGGAAAAGTTAATGAGGGATTTCTTGTGGGAACCAAGAGAGGAGAAGAAAGACCATAGGGTGAGTTGGGAGGTGGTAACTAAAAGCAAACAGTTAGGAGGGCTTGGGATTGGGAATATCAGGAAAAGAAACATGGCATTGTTGGGGAAATGGTTATGGAGGTTTCCAATGGAAAGGGACAAACTCT